GCCAAGGGGGAGGTGCCAAGCTGGGGAGAAACAGCAGCAGCCCCAAGTTCAATGATCCAATCACCCCCACGCCCCCTAGAGCATGCACAGTCATAGCCAGGAGGGTATTTAGAACCTTGGGGGCAGAGTCGGCTCTCTCAAACCTTAGAAAGGTCTTCTCAGAGGCCACTCTGAAATGCTTCATGCAACTATTTTAATCCCCCTACATAGATGGCATTTTTCTAAAACAAGGTTCTTGGGGATTGTTGAAATGATTCAACTTTGGCTACTCTGCTGTGTAGGATGTCTTCCGGCTGTTGACCTGATGGAATCAAATTTAAAATAAACAAAACAACAACAAAGGAAAACACAAACCTGGCGGAAAATTACCAGATGTCTGCCTTGGATTCTATTCCTGGTCTGTGGCAAACTCCCTTCTCTGGGTCTGGTTTCTTCACCAATTCAGGAGTCAGACTCCATGATGTCTAAGGTTCCATCCAGCTCAACAGTCCTGTTAACGACTTACACAGACACCCAGGCCTCGACGTGCCACTTCATTTTGAGGAAGAGTGAAGCTGGCTATCATGGTTGCGCCTTGGTGGCTTGGCTGAGTGCACACGCATCTGTATGCACGTCTTGTAAACATGGGGGTACGCACACCTACTAAAAGGCGGCACACACCACTGCCCTCTCCTGTAGTCCCTGACAAGCGTGGCACCTAAACAGGGCCTTTGCAATGTCAAATGCACCAGTAAGCGGGCCTCTAGCATACTTTTTTTAAAATTCTGCAGCAGAAATTTTAAAAGATCTACATAAATAGAAAGAAGTCTTGTGTTCATGGACTGGAAGACTTAAGACTGTTAAAATGGCCATAGTTCCCAAAGCAATCTAGAGATTCAGTGCAACTCCTATGAAAGTTCTAATGACCTTTTTTTTTTTTTTTGCAGAAATGACAACCAAACACCATGATGTGAATGAAAATAACTGATATGTTATGGTCGTAAAACAGCGAGTACCTGTTCCTTTATTTTTTTTTTCCGATGTTCGTACAAATAGATCTGTATTCCCTCCCTCCATCCCTTCCCCTTCCCCCCCACATGCCCTGATCACTCAGATGAACGTACCCACATCATGCTTTCTCCAAACTGACAAGACAGGAACTCTATCCGACCCATTCTGACATGGCTTGTGAGCTTCTAATAGACAACTGGGGTAACAGTCACCTCTGTCTACCAGAAACAAACTTTCCCTTTGCTCTAAGAACTGCAGTTTGGAGGCTTTTCTGGTACCTTTGGCCTCACCTTTTTGAATTAACCTTCTTCTGTACCCTCCACACTTCTTAACCACCTCCAGGCTACCATTTATGCTTCCCACCACATGCCCTCTTTCCCGTTTCTAGGTTTTCTCATGTTCGTGACAAAAGCATTGCAAATAGATTTGAAGCAGCCCCCTTCTAACCCTGCCTGGAGTTTAAAGGAAAGGTGGTAGGCCAATGTCACCATAACATCCAGAAACAGAAGCAAAAAACAAAAGAACAGGTAAAAAACAAAACCCTATCATCTCAAAATGAATCATGATTCTACTTAAAGGGGAAAAAAGCACAAATGAGAAACCCATAGGAGTTTCTATCAAAAAGTCACTTTTTTTTACCACAAATTAAATCAGATTTGTCAAACCACTTTTCATGCAATCTAAAAAAAAAAAAAGTCTTCTTTATAGAAAATTGATGAAATTTCATGCACAGAACAAATGTTTATTGAGAAACAATTATGTTCCTGGCACTGCAAGAGCCCAAGACCACCTAGGCTAGCAGACTTCAGAAGACCTGCTGAAGGGTATTACAGGGTTCAGAAACTGCCCATGTGTTTAATAAAAACAAACTTCTAGCCAAATTAGTGTTATTATCAACATGTTAATCTTCTCGTCTATTTCAACTCAGACACAGTGAGCTAGGGTGTTCCCTTTACTTCTAACTCTCCGGTTCCTGCTGTTTCTCCCCCAACAGAATGTAAGCTCCTGAGGGAAGACAGCACATCTTACTCATTTTGGACATAATTCTGACTGGCACAGGCTGTGCTGACTTTATTCATGAATAAATAAGCAGCTCCTTAAAGAGTACAGAGCCTGGTTCCCAATGGAGGACTGTAGCACTTCCCTCCCACCCGTTCTGTTTTTTTGTCTTTCTTCACACATTTGTCTGCTCCAGTCTGGCTTTCCCATTTATCAACCTATTTCTCTTCTTCAATTGTGATTTCCTTTTACAAAAAGCCTTTACTGCCTTCCAGGAAGTTTGGGTTTGACCTTAAACCACAATCAGAGTGGCCAACTGCCTCCTTAATCTACATTATGTACAATCCCCCGGTTTGGTTTTATGTTCACCGATGCTGTTTATGCCACAATGACTTCCTTGAGGGCAGAAACACAATCTCCCTCTGTGGGCCATAACTGCCCCCTTCTATATGCCAGCATCTGAATCATCCTTGGCTCTGAATCATCACATTCCCTACCCCAAAGCTTAGGAGCCACCCAGAAATCTAACATAAGATTCTTAAGTGAAAGACAAAAAGGTATGCTTGTTACATGTAGGAAGAGGTGAACTTAAAAAAAGGGGGCAGGTGGGACTCATGTGTTAACAAATTTGAACTTTGGGAAGAAAACAGGCTCTCAAGCAAATCATGACATTTCCAGAGTTCTAAGAATTCCGTGTTCATACATTAAAGGTAATGAAAGGATTAAAAAATAAAAGCAGATTTCATTTACATTCTGATATGGCAATTTTAAAAACAAGGACTACCAGTGTTAAATAAGTGAATGTTAAAAAGGTAAGTATACTTGATGCACAGCCCTCATCAATGAACAACTGTGAGGATTTAGAATAATTCATGTTGGTAACGCATCATCTTTCAAGTGGCATATACTTTCCAAGTTTTGCCATCACCATTAAGAGTATGGTGGAGTAAGACCAGTCTGTTCCGGAACGTCAGAGAAAAATCATGAACTCTAGAAAGCAGACATTTTTTAGCAAACATGGATAAAGAAAAAACTAAAACCAGCTCTCAACATCTTACATTGTATGTAGTCTTTTGATTTTTTAAATAAGCAAATTTAGCTTCATTTTTACAGTGAATGGTTTTGTTCAAGTGGCTAAGTGACATGGTTTGAGAAAAGAAAGGAGCTTTAGCTCAGAATCTGTACTTTCCAGCAATGGGAGTCTCCTGTTCTGATTCTTAAGCAATGGAACCCCAGTGTCCAAATGAGCAGAGGAATTTGGGCTGGAAAGCTACAGAACAGACCCAAATCTCTGATCCATCTCTCTGCTTAATGACCTTTCATGGCATCTCACAAACCACTGGTTCTAAAGAAACCAGAATGATCCCCCAAGAAACATAGGGAGCCAAGTGCAACTGTGAGGAAGGGAAATAAACAAAGAGTTAATCCACTCTACCAACCCAATCTCCTTCTCAAAGACTCCGACCTCTATGGTAGCTTGCCACGTTCCACCCAACAACAGCTGCTCATGATAATCAATGTCTGACAGATCAGAGAAAGCCCTTAATGTGTCGCCAAGGGGCAGTTCAACAGATGGCATGGTGACTTACAACCAGAATCATTAATTACACTCTCTTATTAGTCCCGGGGCACAGTGCTGAAAATGCTTCCTCAGTGAAAGATGAGCATTTCAGATAAATGACCGTCTGGTACCGCCTGCGAAACTCCCTTTAGGATTTCTGGTCAGTGTCGATTTCTAAATCCAAGCCATACTACTCTCACAACCGTTTCCCATCTTCTACTTCCAGGACGGCTTATGAAGTTCCCCCAACCACTACCCAGCCCTGCTCCCGTCATCCCTGCAGGTAAGGATAGGATCAGAAGTGCCCATCACTCATTGCCCTCCTCAAGTCAGCGACTGTGTGGAAAGGCAAACATGACAATCTCAGCCTCAGGGCTAGCTCGCCGTTTCCCCTTCCTCTGCGTCAGAGAACATGTTTCTTGAGTGCTGGGGTGGGGAGGGGGACTATCCCCTCCCTCCCTTACCTACTCCGGTGCTTCCTGTGATATTCGACTGATTCTCCAACTGAAAACTGTCTTCACCCCTGAAACTGCTAGCAGCTTAGGGCAAGCCAAGGTTCCCAAATGTCCACACCACACCGCTGGCTGTGTTATGCAGGCACTGATGTTAAACCACCATGTACTTATTGAGGAAGCCAGAAAAATGCATGGCAAGGAACTAGTCCTGAAGACCCTCCCCAAGGGCATTCAGGCTAATGCCAACTCAGGGTAGAAAGTAGTTCCTTCTCAACAGTTTGAGAACTGGACTCCATAAAACATTACTGTGACATTTTAGAACTGATTGCAGACTGGGCGCCTGGGTGGCTCAGTCAGTTAAGCGACTGCCTTCGGCTCAGGTCATCATCCTAGAGTCTCGGGATCAAGTCCCACATTGGGCTCCTTACTCAGTGGGGAGTCTGCTTCTCCCTCTGCTCTTCACCCTGCTCTTGCTCACTCTTTCTTTCAAATAAATAAAATCTTAAAAAAAAAGAATTAAAAGAATTAAAAAAAAAAAGAACTGACTGCAGACAGAGCTTAGAGGCAACTACTTATTGGCCTTAAGCATGGATGTAAGTCAGAAATAAATCTCAACACAATCTAAAAGAAAGGCAATTTTAAGTCTTTTCCAAATACTACCAAATACACATCCTTCAGTTCTGTCAACCACCTGTTCTTTTTGTACCTCAATCTACAATTTTTTTTTTTGTGAGTTCAAACTGAAGTAATATTAAGCTTCTAAATGCTTTAAAGTTTCATTGTTTCTTGCATTCCAGTTTGTTCTTTCTTGGACACACAAAAACATGACTTCAATTTTCAAATCAGTTCAAATGATTACAGTATCTGATGGATGCTCTCATCTCATTAGTTTTTAAAAGACAAAAAAATATGTTAACGAAAGCATAAAGAAACCTCCTACTGTGGACTATAGGAAAGGAAACGGGCAGTCTGGGTCTGCCTTGTGAGGTACTCACTTCTAGTTTTTTCTCCTTTTCTGACAAAACATCTTTCTGGTTCTGGGTGTACTCCACCAGCATCCGAGCCAGCTGGCGCCGGTCTTCCAGTTCTGCCGCCAGGCGCCCGTTATATTCTGCTAGTAACAGACATGCTTCATCTACTGTTTTTGAAAGACGTTCAGCTGCCTCTTTGTCTATATACAAATGAGACCAAAAAACAGAGATAATACAGAAATCACACAGCCATGACTGCAAACATTTCTGGGGGAGGTTAACAGTTTCTCTCCCAATGTACAGAGTCCAAGAATAAGCCAGAACCTGTAGACAAACAATGGACTGGCTGACAGAGAAATCCAAAGGACGCACTCCTGTTAACAAGACAGGACATCTCTGAATTACCTGACGTGGCAACTGTACAAGGAGGGGAATCTGCAAAGGTTTTCTAAATGCCTATTCCTGCAAAAGCTCTACAAATAAAACAAACAGAGATATTTAAGGTCATACATGAAATAATTTTTCCTTGCCTCTGATAACTGCGAAAGCGCTTTCATATTATTTTGTTAAGTATTTTTTGCACGTTCTTCTGAAATACAAAAGCAAACATTCATTTCTTGGGTGTGGAAACTAAGACCAAATAAAAGCTGTAAGGCTGGTTTGATACCACGTGGTTAGCAGAGAGTTGGGACTCAAAACCATTTCTCTAAAATGGACCTAATAGGATTCTACCCCTTGTATACCATACAAGCCTTGAACCTGGGCAGGAGCTCTCTTCTTCCATTCAGCAAAATACAGGGTCTGATAAGAACAGACGTTCTTTCTAATTCTTTAAACGTGACCCAGAGTAAGAAAAACATTTTATGCAAACACATAGAAAGAAATGAAAATTTCATAAAGCAATACTTATCCCCACTATGTGCAAAGTGTTCCATCTTCTATTCTTTGCTTTTTTTTTAAATTTTGGTCATACCTACCACAGTGATTTCACATCCAATGGGCTGTAACTCACTGAGAAAAAACTGTGCTGAAGTATCAAAGTATAAGAAATGATATCCTTGGAAAGAGGAGGTGAAGGAGGTTCAACATTAGGAAATGAGAGGGAGTGACAAAAGGATGAGCTGTATTAGAAAAGAACTGATAAAATTAATTTCATGTGGGTCTGGTGAAATTGGAGCTCTAATATGTACACAGCATTTTTAAAAAGGCCTTTAAGGGTCAAAAGAATAGATCACTGCCCTGAAACCAAGAGCAAGGGCATCCCCATTCCCTCTTGCTCACGCCAAGATTCTGCTGCTGTGATTGTCCCTTGTGACTGTTCCCCACACCTTTCAACTTCTTTCTCTTCCTCCGCCAGCACTATCATCAGCATACGAACATGCTGTCCTACCTTCTGTCCACCTGTCACTCTAGCTACTGCCCCATTTCCCTGCCTCCTTTACAGAACTCCTCAGGAGAGCTGGTCATTCTCCTCATACCCACCTCCTCTCCTACCACTGTCACTTAACCCACCTCAATCAGACTGTTAGGCCCCAAACCTTCCAATTAACTGAACAAATATGTGGGCTCCTATTATGCCCAACACCGTAACAGGCTCTCAGAGCAACAGGGAACACAAAGGACAAAAACTCTCTGCCCCAAGGAGTTTACATTCTCAGGTAAGAAGAGAAACAATATACCACATTTTACTTGTTTATCAGCTGAAGATCAGAATTCTAGAGAAAAAAAGGCAGAGGAGAAAGCATGGGGCATTCAGAAGGAGAAATAACACTTTTAAATGTGGTGGTCAGGGTAAGCTTCACTGAGGTGGTATGTAAACCAAGGCCTGGAAAATGTGGGAGAACAAGCCACGTGAATTTGACTATCTGGGGAAGATCATCCCAAGCAGAGGGAACAGCAAGTACAAAGTCCTAGAAGAGGAAAGTGCCTGGCAAGGAGCCCATATAACTGGAGTGCTCTGAGCAGAGGGGACATGGTCTAACTTCCATCTGAACAGATCACTCCGGTTACTCTAGTTATGTGGAGAACAGAGCGATGGCTGGGGGTGGGAGATAAGGAGGAAGCAGGGAGACCAAAGAGGAAACGCTTGCAATAATCCCAGTGAAGATGTTGGTGACTTGCACCAGGTAGTAGCAGTGGAAGTGGTGACAATATCAGATACTGGGGTCAGACACTGGTTTTGGTCTAATCAACAGGAATGATGAGGGGGTCATTTACTGATAAGGGGAAGACTGTGAGAGCACTGAATTTTGGAGAGAAGATGACAAGTCTGGTTTGAGATAGGTCAAGTTTGAAATGGTTTTTGAGACAGACAACTAGTAACACTAAGCAGAAGGCTGGATGTACGGGTCTCAAGTTCAAGTGACAAGTCAACACTAGAGACGTAATTTAGGGAATTATTAGTCTAAAAATTATTTAAAGTCATCAAATTGGATAAGAGGAACTGTTAGTGAAACTAACTAGAAAAGAACGCTAAATACTCAACATTAAGAGGTAACAGAGGGGTGAAGAAACCAGCGAAGGAAACTAAAGAGCCAGAGCCAGAGGAAGGAGAGAAAAGCTAGGATAGAGTCCTATTTTCCTGTTGCTGCTGCAACAAATTTACCACCAATTCAGTGGCTGAAAATAACACAAACGTATTATCTTAGTATTTATTATCATGGCCTCTTCCTCCATCTTCAAAATGTATCTCTCCAAAGACTGTTTCCAGGGTCCTACCTCCTCTGACTACTGCCCTCCGGCCTCCCTCTCAGAAGGACCCTGTGACTAGATGGGGCCCACCTGAATCATCCAGGATACTCCTCCCCACCTCAAGATCCTCAACTTCATCCGTCTGTGAGGTCTCTTCTGCCATGTAAGATCGTGTATTCACAGGTTCTGGGATTAGGACACAGATGTCTGGGTGGGCCAGGGGTATTATTATTCTGTCTACTGCACGAAATCAGAAGAAATGCCCAACTGGGCCAAATGTTATTAAGATCAAGTTACGATGACCACAAGTAAAGATTGGGCAAAAATTCAGCACTGAATTAGCAACATGGAAGTCATCAACAACACTGATAAGAGCAGCTTCAGTAAAGTGGCACCAAAAGAGAATGGGAAGAGGGGAAAGGGAGACAAATGAGCACAGGCAATTTATTTAGAATGCTGTATTACAAAGAACAGAGAAATAAGGCAGTATATGGGTCAAGAAAAAAAGTTTTTCCCACGTAGGAAAAAAGTACATGTTTTTATGCTGTGCAGAACGAGCCAGTAGAGGGGAAAAAATGGACAATTATTGGAGCAATGTCCTTGAGTAGTGAGAAGGAACAGGACTAACAAACAGGTAGGGGGCTGGTTTAGAAAACAGCATGTTCGGGGCACCTGGCTGGCTCAGTCGGTTAAGCGTCTGCCTTTGGCTCGGGTCATGATCCCGGGGTCCTGGGATCAAGCCCACATCTCGAGCAGGGAACCTGCTTCTCCCTCTCCCTCTGCCTGCCTGTCTGCCTACTTGTGATCTCTTTCTGTCAAGTAAATAAATAAAATTAAAAAAAAAAAAAGAAAATGACATATTCACCCACAGAAGTAGGAAGAAAAGTCAGCTTATATGTGTTATTTGTTTTTCCCAGCCACACTCAGCTGTGCAGGTCCAGGAAATAACAAAGGAAAAGTTGGATTTAGAAATGGTGGCTGAGAGGGGGAAATGAGTTGTTATTAAATGAGTATAAAGTTTTAGTTTAGTTAAGAGTTCTGGAAATTGGCTGTGCAATGTGAATGTACTTAGTGCTTCTGAAGTGTACACTTAAAAATGGTTATGAATGTAAACTAGGTGTACTTTATTGCAATTAAAAATCAAAATGAATTTTTTATTCATTTAAAAAAAGTGGGGCGCTTGTGTGGCTCAGTTGGTTAAGGTCCGACTCTTGATTTAGGTCATGACCTCAAGATCATGGGATCAAGCCTTACGTCGGGCTCAGCAGGGAATCTGCTTGAAGTTCTCTCTCCCTCTTCCTCTGTCCCCCACCCCCAGCCTTCCCCCTACACTCACTCTCTCTCACACAAATAAATAAATAGATCTTTAAAAAAAAAAAAAAAAAGGGCCATGAGACATGAGACCTTTAGGTCAGGGAAAACAGATAAATAAAATCACATACATTGCTAGCTTTATGTTAATTTGCTCCCAATTTTTACAGACTATGATTCTGATATTAAGAATAAGTGAGTTGATCATTATAATAACCTCAAAAGTTGGACTTAGCCAAGAGAAAAGCTGGGGTTTTGCCAGAAGACTACAGTGAAGAGGAAAGAGAAAAACAGAGACTGAGGGTGTATGTAAGGAAGCGATTATAAAGACTCCGCGCTAAGTAGAGAAGAAAGTAAGGCTGGAGGGGAGTGGAGGCTGAGGAAAGGTGGAAGGATTAACAGACTGTTAGATCTAGTAGGGTCCAGTTGCTGGGGCTGGGGAAGCAGGAGTGAGCCCAAATGCTGCCTGGAGGATTTAGAGAGCCTCCATGTTGTGCCCTGCAGCTAAGCATGCTTCTGACCTGAAGTCTTTACTCAGACTGTACCTTCTGCCTGTGTAGCACTTCCTTCCCTCAGATATCCTTACGGCTTGCTTCCTAATCTTGGGGGGGCCTCTGATCAAAGGTCATCTCATCAGAAAGGTTTTCCCCAACCACCTTTAAAATACAGGTGTGCCTCAGAGATACTGCAGGTTCAGTTCCAGACCACTGAAATGAAACAAATGTCGCAATAAAGGAGTCAAATGAGTTTTTTGGTTTCCCAATGCATACAGAAGTTATGGTTACACTATACTGTTCTACTAAGTGTGTGAGAGCATTATGTCTAAAAAAAAATGTATACGCTGTAATCAAAAAATACTTTGTTGTAAAAAATTCTATCATCTGAACTTTCAGTGAGTCCTAATCACTGATCACAGATCATCGTAACGAATAATAGAAAAGTTTGAAATATTGCAAGAATTACCAAAATGGGACACAGACATGAAGTGAGCAAATGCTGTAAGGAAAATGGAACTGATATTCTTGCCCGAAGACACCCAACCTCTCAAAGCCTCAATTTCCTTCTATGCAATACGGGGATATATAGTCAGTGACCTCAAAAGGTTATCACGAAGAGTAGAAGTATCTGGCACAGAGCATTCTCTCTAAGTATTAGTTCGTGCTTCACTCCTTCCTTTCAACTTCCCAGGGATAAAGCGGGAATAATGTTACATGTCCCTCCCTGTTTAACTGGGGGTGAGCATCAAGAGGGCAAAATGACATGACTAACAATATACACCTTGCGTTCCTGGCATTAAAGGCACTATCATCTATGGGGCGTGTCTGTGTGCAGGGTATAAATCACAGAGCACTGAATCATAATTTTTTTTTAGTAAGAGGATCATGAATTTAATGTCTTCTATCCTGCCCCCCCAACATCATGGCATGCCAGCATTTCTCCAGTTCCTAGAATCACTTTTCAAGCATGGACTGTTTCAACAGCTTCGCTGTTTGCAAAACCCAGTACCACATAGAAGTCGTCTGTATCTGCAAACGTAAGCATGTCTTAGGGTTTGATGAATTAGAGAAATGTCCCTCTTCCCTCACCTTTCATCCAAACTCTACCTTCTCACCTGTTATTTTTTCCAACAGAGAAACATCTTGCACTTCCTGGGGCAAAGAAGCAATCTTCTGCCGGACAGTAGCATCCCCTGATGCAGCATTTTCCAGGTCCTGCAAAGCTTTGATCAGTTCCTCAGTCTGTAGAATGAAAGCACAAACAACACTGTCCATTAAGACATATGGGATTTAAAGAAAGCCAGAATTAAATGAGGTGCAGGAAAATTCTAAAAATGATCACGCTCCTAACATTTACAAAAACATTGTCCTTAGTACCAGATCCTATACTGAGGGCAGTGATTGGATTGGATGATGGATTCTAAGAGAATGTGCAAAGTTAATTTTTCTAAGTCGATAGCAGAACATGAACAAATTCTACATAACCTGAAAAAAAATCTTTTTAAAAAGAGCATGTTGGGGCGCCTGGGTGGCTCAGTCGGTTAAGCGGCTGCCTTCGGCTCAGGTCATGATCCCAGGGTCCTGGGATCGAGCCCCATGTCCGGCTCCCTGCTCAGCAGAGAGCCTGCTTCTCCCTCTCCCTCTGCCTGCCACTCTGCCTACTTGTGCTCTCTATCTCTCTGTCAAATAAATAAATAAAATCTTTAAAAAAAAATAAATAAAAAAATAAATAAAAAATAAAAAAAATAAAAAGAGCATGTTTTTGGCAACTTAAAAAAAAGGAGCCTGGTTCAAATTGCTTAGTTTCAAATAATGTATGATTTCTAATACAGAATGGTCTGGTCTCCAGTATAGCATAAAGGCGTACGTACCAGATGTTGAACAACTGTGTGCTGACTGATTAAATGCAATGACACTGCCTACTTCAATTCTTTCTTGAATTTGCTTTACAAAATGAGTGTCACAAAGATGACAGTTTCCATTTTGGCAGCCACTCCCCAAATTAAATGTGTCAACTCATTAATTACAAACAGAGGAGAAAAAGACTAAGAAAAGAGCAAACCAAGAACACATACTTTATACACTAAAAAAGGTAATTTTAAATCATCAGAAAACAGAATGCCTGGGTGGCTCAGTCGGCTAAGCCTCTGCCTTCGGCTCAGGTCATGATCCCAAGATCCTGGTATTGAGTCCCGCATCGGGCTCCCTGCTCAGCAGGGAGTTTGCTTCTCCCTTGCCCTCTGCCTGCTGCTCCCCCTACTTGTGCTCACTCACTCTCTCTCTCTGACAAATAAATACATTAAATATTTTTAAAAAAAAATCATCAGAAAACAATGAATGCTGACAGGTTCGCCAGTCCATCATGACCCAGGAGTAAGAAACTGGCCATGTAGACAGTAGTCCAGTTATCCTGAAAGTTAATAATTCAGGCTGGCCCCCTTGGAAGTTTTTAAACGCAAAGCTACACGGCCTAACACTGTTTTCACTTAACCCACCATCTAATTCAACATTTTAACGTAACACAGACCCGACATGCTTCCTATTTACATGGACCTTAGCCACACCCATGTGTAATAAAGTAAAACTGTTTTAGGCAAAATGAGAGGCCATGTAACTCAGTAAAGATCATGGTCTCTGAGGTCGGTCAGACCCAGATTCAAAGTAAGACACTGGGCAAGTTAATCTCTCGTTGAGCCTCACTTTCTTTGATGGTAAGTAAAGTAAGTAAAGTAAATTAGTAAGTAAAGAAATAAACAGCAAAAATTAACCAATCACACAGAGCTCATCAGCTAATTTATATGAAGGGTTAAACAATGCAAATATATAATTAAAAACTCAGCTCCATTTTAATATTTAAGTAGCAAATTTGCTATTGCCACACAGACTACCCTAAAAACTAATGAGTTGTTTACTTATATAACATAACCATGTATAGGAGAAAAGCCATGGCAGAGGACATTCAAATGTCTTTGTAGCATTATCTACCCTTTCAAAAAAAAAATCTACTTTTTGAGAATATTTTCAAGTCCTAGGAGTGAAACAAAGCCAAGTCCAAATACCGTATAACACATAAATCCATGCCATCCATGGCATGCAAAGACAAAGGCAAGCCTGCTATCTGGCAAGCTTTACTGGGTAGATCTTGCACCCAGTGCCCTGAGAGCTGCCCTCTGGTGATTCCGTACTATTGGTCCCTGGCGCCACCCTGTGGCCATAATCTCCAACTAGCAGTCCCTCCACTAAGCCACTGTGTCCTACTCTCTGGGAGTCCTGACATACCAAGAGGGGTCCTGCAGAAGGATCTTGGGGAGAGTAGCTTCCAGGGTAGTCATCATCCTCCTCCTCTTGTATCTGCTGAAAAGTTCGCTTCAGAGATTTCTTCTCCTCTGTTGCTAGAGGAAAGAAAAAGGGCACAAATTTGGGTCATGAGAGCCTGTGCAGGTAAGAGTCAAACGCTATGCACAATGGGCTACATGAAAAAAAATGGCAAAAGGGGTGTACATTTCCAAAGATGGCTTAACGTTAGCCTATATGCTAGTTATTTTAAATTGGTGGTAGTTCCCTACATTACTGGAGTCAAAAATGGCCTCAGGTCTGTCATCTCGGACTCACTGGAAAAAGACTACCAAAACAAGCACCTGAAAATGAAACTTACCAAACTTAACACATTTAATTAAAAAGCTTATCTCTTAAAAATAAAAGTTAACAAGAGAAGCAAAGTGGTTAAGAAACCCATGAGACAATATAAGGAAGGAAGCCAATGTAAGGCAGGGTTTGTAGAAAATACATTGCACATAAAATGAAACACTATTCACTTTGCAAGATAATTCAGAAAATAAAAACAGGTACTCCTCACTTTTCTAAAGCTTGCTTTTATGAAAGACCTACAGTAATAGTACCTGTTTTCACTAACCAAAAGAAATTCAAAGAGGATTTTCACTTTCACAAAGAAAGACACAAAGTGAAAGTAGTGGTCAGCATGTGTGTTGCAGGGAGCGATTATTATAGAGGCAGCATGCACCCCAAGCAGCCAGAGTGGCCCCGCCATGCTCCTTCCCAGCCACTACACTCGGCATCTCAGCATCAAGCCACCAGAGCTGTGAGCATCTGTGCTTTATCTCGATTTATTCTGTGCATCTGTTAGCAAGATGTGGCCTGAGGTATCAGAAAAGCCTGAGAGAAGTTATTTTTGGGGTCTGGGAATGCTCAAAAAGTTTTCCATATAAATTAATGGTAACTGCTCCTTCTCTTTATGCCATTTCGGCTTAGATGTTTCATAGGAATGGTCTAATTTCAGACAGCAGGGAAAACCTGTAGTAGAGAGAAACCTATCAATAAAATCGTGTCAGAAATTCTACACATCATGCTCTTTAAACTCTCCCTTTAGAAACAAAACAAACCTTATTTTACCTTAAAATTAAAAATAACCGTTGCTGCGAAATACGACTGATAGAACTGAGAGAAGTTACTTAAGTCACTATTTTAAAGTTAACCACTTTTGAGGCAAACAGGGTACATTACATTTCTTATTATTTGTATTGTATGCTTTTAAATGGCTAGGATAGATGTGCCCATTCCAAAATCATTACTTTTGTATCAAATTGGACAATACAAAATAAATGCCAAACATCTGTGGGACGTAAGTCTAAAAGACACGCTCAGGCTTGGAAAGTAAAGAAACGCTGGTAACATGTGGCAGGCACGGCAACAGCTTCTGTACACTGAGTCCTTCCGGCAACTCTGAGATGTACTATCTCCAGCTTGCAGGGGAGAAAATGGAGGCCCCGAGAAGTTCAATACTGGTCTAAAGGTGGGACTTTCAAAATCTGTGTGCTTCCCACTGCAGTCAAATTCCTCAGCAGCACACACTCTCTCATCTGCCAAAGGAGGGGTCACCATGCACCTGCCTCTGAACTCTGTGAGTTATAAACAGAATAACGTACACATCTTGCTTCATTAAACATTTTTTCCTGGAAACAAGGATGTAGTTCCTGGTCCTACCTTACACATTAACTGACCAAACTATGCTTGACGTGAAAGCCAAGTCAATATCATGGGTTTGTTCCTCTGTTCTACTAAATAAAGGAAAACAGCAACATTTGCATCAAGACAGCCCTCACTTTGCAAGATTCTATTATGCACGGATTTGTTACCAAGGTTTCAACACCAGTCCCCCGACACCACGGTTCAAATTTGTTACTGTGGCATATTCACTCAGAGTAACTGCATAAAGAACAAACTTTGCTGCTAACTTCAATCCACAAATCACTGCGTAAGTAATAGAAACGCATCATGATCAGTGACCACATCACTTCTTTCAGGTCACTGGTTGGTCACTGCACCGTTATTATTTCAGTTCACACACAAACAGCAGTGTTTGGTTGTGTTGTCTCCCAGGGATCAAATTCACATGACATTTCATAAAAATGAATAATCAAAACAGGAACTGACTGAAAATGACAAAGATGAAAGAGCAGCCCCGAAATTAAAACTAAAGCTCATGCTAGAAGCAAATGGAACGTAAAGGGAGCTGGCAGAAGACACAGCTGGCCACGGGGACGCTGGCACGGCCACATCCTTCCAGAAACTCTAGGTCCGCAGCCACAATCACCTGGTGAAAGCCAATTTATCAAAATAAGTGAAGAAATCAGTTGTGATGACAAGGACGACCATGTCCCAGAGGAAGTGATGCTGACAAAACTCTTCACATTATAGGAACTCTCCAACATATGTCATGACCCGGAGAACACTAAGGGTAAACTGCTGAAAGCCAACCCAAACTTGGAGGATGCTTGCTCCGTACCATGGAGTACACAAGGCAAGCTCTCTCTGGTCAAATCCCTCTTGTGAAGCTCATTACAAAGAAATAAAGCACTTTAATTCTCAATGTTCCTAGTGTTTTATGTTCTAGCATGCTAGGTAACTATTAGTGTTACTATCTTTTTTGTTCCCTATAGATCTGTAATCAACAGTGAGTTTTCAATTCTTTGATAAAAAAATTTTAAAAGTCATAGAAAAATCAAAACTTTTCCCATTGATTAAGATCATTTTGCATGGTTTTGGCTTACATAGTCATTTTTACAGTCCTGCGCTATGCAAAACAAGGACTGCTATATTTGTAAAACAGAAAATCTAACAGTATATAATTTGCATATGAGATATCTAACAGTACTTAGCACACACTAGCTGCCTAATTAATGTGCAGGGTGGTATGACCCTCATAGACACTTAGTCACCACAAAGCATCAAAGTGGCCATGCGTTAGGAGTTGCCACTAAAATATAAGCACATAAGCGAAAAAATTTTTTTAATATTTTTTGTTCACTTCCAAGCATCTAGAGCAGTGCTCAATGAAATAACTGTTAAATACACTAAAGAAGGTAGAAAAATTACAAAACTTGAATCCTTCAGTTTCAAACTCTCATACAGAAGTTATTATATATAAAAACCACATACAACTTTATACCTTAGGACCCTCAGAATCACTGAATTTGGGCACTGGAAGGCCTTAGATAGACCTACATCTTTGCTTTCCCCACCTTGTTTTTCATGAGCATATATCCAGGCCCACAGGCTGTGGTTTGTCCACAGTCGAGGAGCTCATTAGTGTAAGTCTGGGCTCTATAGCCCAAGTCACCTGCCCCCTAAACTGGAGTAACTTTTTACCACTTCATACTGGCACTCACTCACAGCATTTCAAGACTGAAATCAAACTTATGAAAATAATTGCAGGCCCATTTCTGTCCTTGGCCATCCTGATGGAAGAGGGTGTAATAAGAGATAACCCACTGTCATCCTACTTCAGTTCTCTCCTCTTTGCACTTGGAGAACCTACTGGAAATGAATTATTCATCATTTTCTTCATAAGGTTCCTCCTTTCCTGAGCAACCTACTCATACTAGGGGAACACTTCCACTGGCCCCATCTTCCAAGTACAATGCCTTGGAGACCACCAGAATCTCTCCTAAAGTCCCAACTTCCAGCCGACTCTACACTTCTGAGATTTATCTTACAGATCTTTCCATTCTGTTTCTTCCTATCGCCTCTTATCAGAAGTGTGCCCTTTTCCCTGCCTTGTGCAGACCACTGTCCCAACTGGTCTCCCTGCCGCTAGTCACTCCTTTTCCAACTTAGACTACACTCTCAGGAAATGAATGGCCCACTGTGCCCCTACTCAAAAACCCGGAATGGCCTCTAACGATATTACAGTTTCTACCTATGCTCAAAGCCTACCCATGGTAAAGGCAGCAGCATCTTGAGCCATCATCTTCCTCTACTCCCGCAGCACCCGGCCCTTGCTGTGCTGTACGGCCACCGGCAGGCACAGGTCTTACCTCTCTGACAGAAACATTAAGTATCTTATTTCTTTATATCCCTATAATACCTAGAAATGTGTCACCAGACCTGAGTTGGAAACTTCTTGAAAGAAAAGGTGGCACAGAGCTTGGAAGACGCCAGCGCTGAACCAAAGACGACCATATGCCTCCGTTTACACAAACAGGACAGCCTGCTCTGTTAACTGTCCCCTGACTCATCTGTACAAAGTTAGCAATTATAATGCCCAGCATTCTCAATCTAGTCAGGCAGCTATTAAAAATAGCCTAGGAAATCTGTCAGTCCCACTCCTATTACTGAATTTAAAACAAGGCACCCTCCCACTATCAATTCAGCTTCTGACCATAGCATTTACATTGCTTTTTGACTCACTCAACCACTCTGTTTACAGGCAGGGCAAACACTACGGGTGGCCCCAATCTGCCTGTCCTCATATTATACACTCTCTACTCTATCCCCCGACCTGTCCCTGGGTCTCTAGGGGTCTTGTACTTGGCTAACATTCAAGCAATCCTGGTTCCCTAAGCATTTATAATACATCTCCTGGAGACCTGACTGCGGTAGAATTTTAGACACTACAGCAGACTACAAAACTAATTTTAAGGCAAAAAGTTAGCCTGAAGTCTCCCAAACACTTTATAAAATGCAGCCATCTACTGTAAAGCTAGGTCTTCCAAAGAATCCACTTGAAATTTTCTGGGACTAAAAAACAAACAAAACAAAACAAATAAAAATAAAAAACAAATGGAAAAAACCCCAATACCCACAGATTTTATATTACTTTTATAAAGAGAAAAGAATCCGGAAATATTGTTTGTAACAGCTCCTGCATTCTTTGTTCTCTCCCTGCAAAATAAAGGCAACTTTTAAAAGAAACACATTAAACTTTACTCACGGAAAGAGAAAGCTCTGCAGCCAAAGTCTGACGCTGGACCTACTATCCTGAAAGCACTTCACCAGTACCGTCTCCAGCTGAGTGGCCAGCTCCAGACTTAAACCTGGGGAAGCTGGGCCTAGAGCTTGTGCTCTCAACCACTATGCCTTCTAATCTTGCACAAAATCTGGGGAACTAAAAATACTAACAATTCTCCTCCTATGCTTGCCACTGGATCATATTGAGAAACTCAGAATATTAGGTATTAGAAACAGGGAGCGTGGCTCAGATAAAAGTCATATTGTCCCTTCATTAATAACATCTTACCTATGTCATCTCAAGTAATCTTTAGGACAGTGCTGTGTGGTGTTACTACTAACAGCCATCCAGTACAGTGAAGAACCTGAAGCTCAGAGAGGTCTAATGCTATGCCCTAGGTCACACAGCATGGAAGTGACAGAGCGGGGATTCATACTCTGGAAGCCTGGTTTTAAACCCTTGCTTGGAATAGCTAAACTACCTATACTAAGGTCCAGGAAAGTTGGGTGACCTGCTCATGAATTCATATCCTAATTCAAATCTACTGAATACATGTGCTTCCAGCAAAAAGTATGGTGTGAAGAACACAGGCTTTAAAGTCATACAGGCCAGAACATGAATTCTCCACTTATTAATTATATCTGGACAAAATCACTATACCCTTTTGAGCCTCAGTATCCTCATCTGAAATAAGAAAATAATACCAAATTCATAGAGGAGTTGAAAGAATCTAAAATAAATTAACATGAAAAGCAGCCAACAGAGAGGCTGGAACATAATAGATGCTCAATAAATGCTATTTCCTTTGTATCTACCTTTCTTTTCTAAATCCTCCTACAACTGTAGGATACCGTGTGACTCATGTGTGACTTAAGTAAATAATGAAATTCCATTCAGTCCAGTGACAGCTTGAGTATGCCCAAGAACAGAGAGACAACTTTAGAACACCTGGGTCTTACACATGGGGAAACGGGTATATAAACCCAAGTTCCAATTCTCTAAAACAAAATTCCTAAGCTTATTTATTCTCTACTGTCAAAGTTCCACAGGAAAATTTTTATTTCAAAGGTAAATTCTAGAGTTGTCTCAAGACAAAGAAATATCCATGAATCAAAGCTGAAATATAAAAGGACTATTTAATTTTGGAAATAAACTTCTGGAGAACTCATCAATATTTTGAAAGGACTGAGGTAAAATATTTTGATAACTCAGGTCCAAAGAAGATGGTGAGGAGACAGACTGAGTTAGCTGAAACTAATATACATGTTGGAACCTTTGGTATGTGTTTCCATCTTTACAGCACAGAGAAAGAGAAATCACCTTCAGATCAGCATTATCCTCCACACGGAGGAATACTGCCTCAATGGCTGTTAATGTCTACATGCTCAAAAAAATCAGAAACCCAACAGAGCTATTTTCAAATCTACCACTGCCACAAACTCCCCAATTTGCCTGACTGCTCCCTAAGGGCAAAACTATTTCCCCACCCTCTGCTCAGTCCTATAGCATCTAGCATAGCCATTTACTCAAAGCACATGTCTGGCAAATGCTTGTCGAATTGAAATTCAACACTTGGCTTCCAACATTGTCTTTCAGAGCTCCCCTACTTGCCCAAAGATGTTTTAAAAAATCAGCACTGTTTACCAATGACATCTAAGAGTAGAGAAAAGAATGCTGAATAATTCTCTAACACTGTGCAGAACACCTCCAAAAGATACAATACAAAGACTACCAGAATCCAAAGTAGGGAACACCTTGCTTTTAAGAAGCTACCACCAGAGTGACCTCAAAATTGTTTCCCATCAACTCTAAGTAAAACAATGACCTGCAGTCTGAAAGCACTTATGTCATTCTTACAAAGCCTCTAATTTATAGTTTTATGGGAAAGTTGCCCCATCTTAAATTGCGTGTAAACTCAGACCTGGAAGAGATCATGAAAGGTACACAATAAAGGGCTGCTGAATGAATGATATTATCAGGTAAACTAATCATGGTTGAATGCTATAGCAGAGGCATGTATAAAGTACCAGAGGAACATGGAAGGAAGGGCTACATGTGCCCAGACAACGTAGGGAAAATGTCAAAATGAGAAGAGCATTCCTAAAGAATGAGTTCACCACCCAGTGAAAGGGGCAGAGGACATTTCAGGCAGAGGTAACACCAGATGCAACGGAAGAGGTACCCTGAGAGCATCCAGAAGGGAAACTGTTGGGTATGGCCAAAGACCAAGGTGTATGCGAGGGAATGGCAGAAGAATCTGGAAAAGTAAACTAGTTCACATTATAAAGGGTCCTAAGTACTATGTTAGTACTTAAGACTTGTTCCTCCAGGCAATGAGTTTGTGTGCAGTCAGATCAGATTTGTAGCTCAGAAACACGTTGTGCCAACTAGAATTAAACCGCAACTAACCACAAACCCATGAACCAAATAATGTTTGATCTTACTCCTCTTTAAAGAAAAAAAGAACATAAGCTCTTAAGAGGAGCTGGTGAGGTTCACACACATACATGTACACGCTTCTGGAGGATATCCTGGGTTCAGTAAAGACCAAAATCAATTATAGACAGCAAGGTGACAAACATCAAAATATGTTCCAAAACCACATCAATATTTAATGAAACCAAGCTCTAAAAGAGCTAACAGACATATTCAAGACCCCATAGTAGTCAGTGGCAGGGCTAGGACAAAACCTTAGTCCAAGGTGCCTCCTTGTTCCCCACAACTAAACAACGTTGTTCCTTTCCCTTGTGCAAGGAAACTCTCTGCAAGGCAGAAGAGAGCCAAGGAGAATACACAGCAAAAGTTAAGGGTGTGAGATGATGAATAGCATGAATACTAGAACCAGGCTTACACGCTGCGAGCACTACATAAATTCTCACCATCATTTATGTTCATCTCTCTGAAGAATCATATAATCGCTGGTGGTTCACAGCAACCCCCACTGCAGCTTTTCATATGTGATTCGAAAGTAGGCAAAGACCAAGAGCTGTAAACATGTGGTGATGTTTCTACCTTTGGGGGGAGGGCTCTTGGAGTCCTCCATAGACAGCTTCAGCTGCTGTATGAACTCGCCGCCATACACACTTCTTTCTTGCCAGATGTTCAGCAATCTTTCTAAAGGTTTTTTACAGCCTTCATCTGCCTCTCTGCCCAGAAAAGACGAAAAGATAGATATAAGCTTAAGATTTTTTGTGTTTAATTAGGACAGACCTACTTTAAAAATAACAACTGACTAAATGATTTACATATTTAAACACAGAAGGAAGAGTAAGATACACATTGTGATAAACAGATACCCAAAATTTGACCAGAAACTACATTCTTCCTGTGGTGCGTAGGGAAGATGGAGCACGTTATAGAAGTAATCTGTCTTTATCTCCTTTGAAAGATGGGGCAAATAGGGCAAAAAGCCAATCGCTGATTGTTAGAGAATTATCAAAAACTGATCATTTCAAATGTGACAGCTTGCTTCTTAAGAAGACAGTAATCGAAATGTAGTGCCAGACATTCTGCTGGAAATTAAAGGGGGCCAAAACCTTTAAGGGTAGGAAAAAAAATGATTTAAAAAAAAAACAAATGTTTAAAAATGGGGAATATATTCACCACAACCCATCAATGCTAACACACCAACACTTCTACATGCCTTATAAATACAATCATACACATATACCAAGTCTGATCTCAACTTAAATTAACTACTTCATCATTATTTTAATTCTGGGTTAGGTATGTAGTACCCATTCTCACAAAGGTGTCTAATGGGTAATCTTAGAACACACCAAGCAGAATATGGCCCTTTGTAATTTATATCTGAGAGAAGCTACACCATTTTTTTCCTGACATATTGTACTCCGGAAACAGTATTTTCAGTGAGATAACTAGCACTCAGTGTGCAACAGCTGCTTACCAGAAAATGTCAGACAGCAAGTGGAAGAGTGTGGGAAGACTTTCTGAAAGGAAAACAAATTCCCTCACCATCCATGGTGTTCTATGACTTGTTCTGGTTTGTAAAGCGGCCTGGGTGTCAATGATCTTACCCTGAGTGACTTCCAACAAGAAGGGATACCCTGACACCTTAGTTTGTAAGCCAAGATCTTTAACAGGAACTTCCAAGAAGAAAGAGGTACAAAGGAAGTATGCCCTCATGGCACTTTTCTAAAACTTGTGTTAACACTGAAGGTAACGTGAGGGTCCAGCTTGATCTGGTCAGACTGCATCACTTATGAAATATTAGTGGGAAATTTTCCTGCATTGGGGTCAAAGGACTAAATCAGGGTACATACATTTTTTTTTCTTTTGGTCAAACTTTTTTTTAGTCAGAGGTGAGGGGGAAAAAAGGAAAAAAAATTTCAATGGTAGTTTATAAAACTTAAAGCTATGACTGAATTATTTGATATTGGTGATAAAAACACTTTTACTCCACCTACAAAATATATCTAGAAACAAACTGCTTCTCACCTCTTCCTCTGCTGTCAAGCTGGTCCAAGCCACTATTACCTCTTGCCTGATTACTGGTCTCCCTACTTCCACCCTTAGCCTCCTACAAGCTAATCTCAAGCTTTAAAAATTCTGTTGCGTGAAGGCAGATTATGTCACTCTTTTGCTCAAACCTTCCAATGGTTCTTCCCATTCTCCCCCAGAATAAAAGTGAAAGTTTTCATAAAGCCTACAAAGCCGTTCTCAACACAGCTCGTTATTTCCCTGGCCTCAGCTGGCCTCTCCCTTCTTTGGCTCCCCAACAGCTACCCTGGCCCTCTTGCCTCAGGGCCTTTGCCTGGAACCACATTTCCTTACTTGGCGGCGTGGCTCAGGAATCCCTTTCTAATCTCCCTATTTAAAATTACACTCCCTACCCCTATTTAATTTTTCTCCATACAACTTGCTTCTGCTATGCTATTTAGTTTACTCATCATTTATTTGATCTCATTTTTTTTATTTATTTGATTTCCCATAAAAAACTGTCCATTTGAATGCAACTTCCACAAGGGCAGCGATTTGTCCTCTCCCCCACCCCCTGCTACCCACCCTAGAACAAGCACAATATTGGCCTCATTTTAATCTTTCTCGAAAATTTTTAGTTAGATTTCGATAGGCCATACAATTAGTTACCTTTCAACAATCATCTTCCCACAACAAAGCCACTCCTATCAGACATTGGCTAAACACTTACCTGATCATTCAGTGAGGTTTATGAAATACTGTGTTTGTAATACAAAGAACAAGGCCTAGGGCCTGACCTCTAGGGCCTGACCCAGTAGCCCATTCCCTTTCCACATCCCAACCAGGGCACTTTAACCACATGTATCTTCTGCTCAGAACTTGCTCCCTCTCATCACGCATGTGCCTCTGCCCATGTTATCTCCTCTCCTTTGAATGGAACCCCCAAAGGAGAACAAGGTGAAGAGGGAGAAGTTGGAAGTAATGCAGGTGGCTTAAGTATATAAGGAGTATGTGGAAATAGCAGAAGAATCTGGAAGGACAGAGTGGAATTAGATCATGAGGGCCCTGAATACCATATTAAGTACGTGGCCTTTATCCTGAAGGCAATGGGAAGTCTCTGATGACATCAAATGAATGACTTAGAAAATAAAATAATTAGTATAACCAAATCACAACTAATCAGAACTTAACTGGTTGATGCTTTTAACATATAACCTGTTCTCTGCAAATTCTCTGTTCACTTAATAGAAAGAGAAACCTATCATGACAACAAATTCTTATCAAGGATTTAGTTAAGGGGGGGATACAATGCAGACTAAATATTTGGGACTCAATTTAGATTAAGACTGATTTGGGGTACAGATTCAGCCACATTACTATATGCAATGGAAACTGATACACAAACCTGTAAAATCCAAGTCATTTTCATAAGGCTTTTACCACTAAAGGCAAAAAAAAAAAAAAGGAGCTCTAGTTTAACTGGTGAATGTAATTAGCCAGGATAGGCTAATTTCTGGAGCAATATAGTAAATCAAAGTTTTGCCAAGTAAGTTTCAAAGCTACAGATAAAATAGTCAAGAAATCTTTTTACTCACGAGGTTTTGCCCCAAGTAGCTCCAATGAACTGAAGTCCCATTAGCACTTGGAAGTGGGTACAACTAAAGCAATAAAGTAGTTTCATAACAGACAGAACTATCTTTACAGGTTGCATTAACTCCATTCTAAACTGAGAAATCTTTAAGTGAAAAAACACCAAAAAGTCCTTGCCATTAATCAATGAATAAGCAGAAAATGATTAAGTATAACTTATATGAAACACAACTTAGTATGCATTTTTAATTCTAATTATAAATTCGATCTGAAAAGTATAAACTGTGTATTATACACACAGAATTGAAGTGTCAGCTGAGGCCTCACCAAGCTAACTTGGGGACCTTTTCTTCCTCTGTAGGTCTAATGGCACGTCCTTGGTATACCCACTATAATTTGTGTGTTTCTGTCTTATCCCCTGCACAGTAGCCCCGTGATAAGCCTACTAAAGGTAGGAATTCTTTCTAAATATCCCCAGCACTTCCAAAAGAGCCTCCCGTGAAACTGGAGCAGAAATGTTCCATTGCCAATCATGCAGAAAAGAGCAAGCCTGAGACTGCCACCCTTAGAAAGGCCTGCTCACCATGCTGGCTCTTAGCTGGCATCTGGAAGGAGTGTTCCTGAATTTCCTAATTGATAATCATGGTTTACTGTGCCTAAAGTGTTTGTGCAAACAATGTAATTTATGCTGAATACCTGTTTTCTTTCTGAAAGCTGGGAATTTTGGCAGAGGGTACCTGTGGCCAACGCCAATAAAAACCCTGGGCACTGAGTCTCTAATGAGCTTCCCAGGTACACAACACTTCACACATGTTGTCACAACTCAAAAACGGAGGAATTTAGTATGTTTTGTGTGACTCCACTATGAGAGGACTCTTGGAAGCTTATACGTGGTTTCCTCTGGACTGCAGCCCATACAACTTTTCCTTTGCTGATTTTGCTTTGTATCCTTTCACTAATAAATCATAGCCATAGGGACAACTATACTGTGAGTCTTGTGAGTCCTCCTAGCAAGTCAGCAAACCTGGAAGTGGCCTGGGGAATCCATGACACAATAGTAAATAAGTATGTTTTTGGTGATAACTCCAAATTTATGTCTCCAGAAATTAATTTCCTACTGAGCTTCAGACGATTTCATCCCTCTACCTATCTGGCATCACCCCCTGGGAATATCTACTAGCCATCTCAAACTTAGCATGGCCAAAACAAAACTCCCGACTTCCTCTACCACATCTTTTCCCCAAACTTCATCTCAGCAAATAGCACTAGCAGCCATCTCCTTAGTCATGTCAAAAACCTAGAAATAATCTGATTTCTCTTTTCCTTCACTACCAGTTCCCACTCAACTCCCACAAATCCTATCAGCTTTACGTGGGGGAGGTGAGGCAAATCCATTCACAAAGTAAACATTCGATAATCTGGAAGCTTACTATCTTCTCACTGCTCTGAGTCCTAGCCAATGTCATCTCTAGACTGTAGTAAAGCAATACCCTTCATACGCATGTCCTTGGCCTTTATAATCCATTCTCCACACCAAGCCACAGGGACCTCTTAACCATGTGATGGAATGTATCTTTCCCCTGCTTAATACCCATCACTGACATCCCATCAGAATAAAATCCTCTCTCCCAAAGCTTATAAGACATGAGTGACTGGCACCTGCCTACCTCTCTGATCTTATCCAGATGCCGCTTTTCTCTTTGCTCAACACAACTGTTTTAACCACACTGGCCTTCATTCTGATCCTCCTAACACGCCAAGATTATTTCTACCTTAGGTTCTTTTTAATAGCTGTTTGTTCCTACTTTGTATGATTATCTCAAATGTCATTTCCTTAGAGAGGCCTTCCTTAACCACACTAGAAGAGATCCCACTCCAGAATGTCATTCTATTTCATCACGTCCATATTATCACCCTCTGAAAGTATCTTGCTTGTTTATCTGTCCTTGCCTGACTTGCTCACTGCTACTCCTCTAGTGTCTGCATCAGTACTTGGGACATAGAAGGCACTCAAATATATGCGGAATGAAAAACAAAGTGCACAACTATCTCCAAACTCAGAAGAAAATAAGAAGGCATTTGTGTGGGAAAAAAGTTCAAAGTCCAGTTAATTAAACTGCTATTCAAATTAAATCTAACCTATGAACTTGGCCACTTCCTCTGACTTCAGAGGTTTGGTTTGGGGTTTTTTTTGGGGGGGGGGAGGTCAGGGAGGAGGTAGGAAATTACCATAAAAAGATTCCTAATCAATTTGGCTCAATATTAATGGGTCCACTATCTTTGTTCCTCAACTGGGCACAGAAAGTCACACAGAGTACTTCTTACCCTGGATAAGGTACATCAGGATTAAAGTGGAGTTGCTGGCTTTTCTGTTCTAACAATAGTGGGAGGAAAGGCCTCACAAACATGGGGATCCTGAACCTAATACCCAAAAAGGACCTTAAAAAAATAAGAATAAAAAAAAAAAAACTAGAGCTTTTTTTTTTCACTGAAAAGGACCAGATTTACTTTCCCCATAATGCCATAGAAATCTGCCAAGACATTTTTACAGCACCTCCTAGATAGGCTTTAAGATGTTATACCAAGTAGAAAAGGAATTTTCAATCCCAGTATTGCCCATTCCCCTTCTCCTACTCCTTTCTACTTAACCTTTCCTGGTTTGGGGGGCAGTTTATTATTATTGTTCAGTTTTTAAATAAAAATGTTATGTGTACTATCCCTACAGGAAATTATTTTAGTCAATTCCCTACACCCAAATTAATTCATTCAACAAATATTTACTGAATCCTTACTATGCCAGGGCAGACCACAATGTTGCCCAACTCCTGGCACGCCAATCACACCAAGGCTACATAAATGGTATTCCCTAAAGCCATGTAACCTGACAGCTCTGTGCCAGACAGACACGTTACTAGGTGCCTGGGACACAGTGAAGAACAAAAAAGAAATGGTCCTTCTTGCCACAAAGTTTACAATTTAGCGTATTTCCATAACTGAGCAAAGACCGGGGACTGGGCACTGTACTTCGTGTTTTCAAACAGACTGGTGTACTTCCACCCCACAACAACTTCAGTGAGGGAGGTGATGTCATCCCCTTCTAATTAGTTAGAAAACTTGTAACTGAGGTGTTAGTAAAAGCGAAGTAACACAGCCAAGGTCCCTGAGACAGTACTGGAGGCAGAGCTACAGCCAAAGAAACTTAACTACATCTCCTCAAAACAAGAAAATGCCAGGGCTCCAATTTGAGACAGCTATTCTAACAGTCTGTTCTAAGCTTACTCTGCTATAAGGATTCAGGATTGTTTCAAGATCATAATGCATTCTGCTGCTTCAGTGCCCATGTTCATCAAAAGTAGGGGCCAGCTACGTAGTTGACAAAAATCTTTTCTCATCTCTAGAAAACTAGATATCATTTCTTTCTTTTGGATTTTCCATTTTATTCCTTCAAAATTCTCAAATCTTTCGTGGAATGCTGGACTCATTTACACATTTGAGGCCTTTCACTTATACTTCACACCCTAGTACAATTTTAACCAACTGGTCTCCTTCTTTTTTTGCCCTTCCCAATTTCCTTTTGCAAAGATGTTTCTTATATGTTTACTAAGTAATATTCTAGTGAAAAATAGTTTTTGTTTGCTCCTCCTGGACAACTAACTTGTGTCTACAGAAAAGCAGTTTATTTTTAAATAAATAAAAGTGATTTATAGAAGTTTTAATCAAATGAATTTCAGGTGATATTAGCTACATGTGTGCTCTATGCTCTAGTCTTCTTGTTCACAAAACATAAGAGTGGCAGAGATTTAATAGGATATAGCCAGGGCAAGTATCTACTTTTCACACTGATAATTATTACCTTTGCAGTTACAGTAATGACCACTATTTTTAGTAAATGAGACATCTAGACATTTAGAAGGAAAGAAGTAAAAATGAGGCATAACCAACTAATATCTTGCTATTAAGGTTTTGTTACTGGAATGTTTCCTGGTACTATTTAAATTTGTTTTCTGACCATAAGCTAATGAGACAACTCAGCCAAGCCAAGGAAAACACCATAGTCAAGAAATGAATTCAAATAAATGAATACATCTAGGGAAAAAGATCTTCTACAAGTGCTAGACTCAATCCTTTCAATGCATCAAAATGTTTACACGTCTGAGACAGTACTTAAGGGCCCAACAAAACATAAAACTGTAATTTGGCCTCTACAACACTCTGTAATGTAATCTGGCCTCTACAACACTGTAAAGCGCAACCCTGTAAAATATGAAGTTGTCAATTTGCAAAGGCTCTCCCAGAGAAGGAAAGAACAGTAAAGAGGAAAGGATAATGCATTTAAATACCAAACCAAACAAAAAAACCAGACAACATACCTGGCAACATGAGAAAAAGCATCCACAAGGACAGATTCAAATTCTCTAGTGAATTCAGGTCCTTTCCTTTTACTGTTTTGGATGACATCATTGGCTAAGTACAGAAAAGTAAGCTTTCTATTTGATTTGGCTGGAAAAAAGAAAAAAAGATAATTTAATTTACACCAAGGAAATTCTCAATCCACAGTTCTTCTGCCCTAAGCTACTCCTAAAGAATATTAAGCATTATTTACTTGAGATCAGGGTTCCTTTATGTTTGAAACAACAACTTAAATAACTTATTGACATCACTAACAAAACAGGTTTGAGAATACAAGTTTGAAAAACAAAACAAGAATGGGCCGTCTTCATTTCTGTGATATTTTAACCAGAATAATTGATGGTAAAAATAAAGATAATCCAAAGAAAATTCCTAAAGGATAAGCAGTCAATATCCTCAAGAAGACATATTAAAACCAAGGTTTTCATTTATTCTATTGTAAAGATGAGCATTTTTAATTCACTCTTAATTACCAAATACTGCAGAATGAAAAGACTGAGCCAGGTTTCAGTTTTAAAATAGATTCTTATAATTTATTTTCCTACACTGATAATTTCTCTTTGAACATTCCAATAACAATCATCAATGATATCAATTCTACAATCCATAGAAATCTCTCAATGCACCAATGCATATTTATCTCAAATATAAATATATATTAATGCTACATTATTAATGCAAATTTAAAGGTGTCTGAATTCTGGATATGCAAAATTATGGCTCCCACAGAAACCATAATTCTTCTCTCTTATACATACTAAATGTAGTATTTCCTATTACTCTATATGGCATCATATATTAAACAATAAAAACCTCATGCACTATGTCTGAGTTACAGTTGCTTAGGGGAACATTACTGAATTTCCTGGCTTCTATGCACATAACTTCTCAACTGTAAAGTTACATCACTATCATTTTTGGTCCCAGTTTTCTTTTAAAAGAAATAAATAAGAATATAATCAGACAGTCCAAAACACTACATTTTCTCCAATGTAAAATACCTGAAAAACTCAAGCAAGCCTTATTTCAACCTTTACATACCTGAAAAACTAGTCCTTACTCTATTCCTCTCAGAAACCACTTGTTTCTTTTGAAATGCACACAGCATGTATAAATTCTGACACAGCAGGCATAAGATGTGACATTTTTAAAGGTAGCTACAGAAGAATAACCCAAGTTAAAAACAAGATTTTAAAAGCATGTAATAGTTTAAAGTGATGACAAAGTATTCATAAAATTAAATATGGCTATCCTGAGTTTTATCAGCCTTCTGTCAATAACCTAGTTTACATGGCTAACTGATGATAATCTTCAACTGTTCTAATTATTATTCAAAAGCAGATCAAAAGTGTCAATAGTTACAATATTCTACTGTTGCTACAAAGGTATCATTATGGCAAAGGCTTTTCTTTTTTTAAAGTAAACCTTGTCCTGGGATGTTGCAACAAATAAAACTACCAAGTCTATAATGCCAAAAGTTAGCGGATTCAAAAGTACAAAAGAACTTCAACAAAGGTAATTTGATCAAGCAAAGCTTTACAAATGCCATATATTTTATGTTTAAAAACCCAGAATCCATTGTATAAAATGCCAATTTGGACAATTAAGACACGATACATTTTTTTCAGTGCTGCAAACATGATAGCCAAGAGGCCAGAAAGCCAAAGTTTTCACTATTTATGATGCCAATTAATTTTCATCATCCTCAAACTTTGCAATGGGATTTACTTAGTCAAACTTTATCCCTCTACATCCAGCATCCTGCAGCCAACATAAATACCATGTGTGTAAAGGTGATATGACAAAGCCCAGAGCACTTGAATACTCACACCCTCTACTCTAGTCCCAAGTGACAACTCACTTATTCAGATGTCTTTCCAATATGATATAATAGATCCTTTCATCCCCTATCTATGCCCAATCCAAATGGGATGGAGTAGTTATTAGGCAAAATTTATATAACTAGCTGACCAAAAAATTCAATTTGTTTAGCTGGTTTTGACATCTAAAAGAGTTGGGGGGAAAAAAAGCCTATTTATCTGCATTCAGGTCAACAAATAAAAACATTACTAAAAAATATTCATTTAAGAGCATTTTACATCAAACTTCTCCATAAAGAAGGGAAGTTCTACCTAGGACAGAGCCCAAAGGGATAAATTTAAGAATTATTCCTAGAAAGTGGAAAGACAATAACCCATTAAGAATAAAAGTAGTATTTAAGCAAATAATAATAATAATTTCTTTAAACCCTGTAAATATTTTGAAGGCGACTCAGAGATAGTCTGTAAACATCTTAGGGAAAATGACTTGACCACAGATAGAAATGTCCACTTTTAAAGACTCAGGGTGGGCCAGAATCTAAGGGGCTAGTCAATTTGAGCATAAGGGCACAAAATCTTTTTCCACTTCAGTGTGGGGGCATTCTCTATTCATGAAGGAAGCCTGGGTATTAGGAAGCTGTATCCTGATGCTTGGAAGAGCATCCTCTACCTTGGCACTATCCAATATGGTAGCCAGTAGCCACATATGGCCATTGAACACTTGAATTGTAACTAGCACAATTATTTAAAACTTTAGTTCCTTAGTCACACATTTCAAGTGCTCAAGAGCCGCATGTGGCAAGAGCATACCTTGCTGGGCATTATGGATATAAGACATCTCACAGAAAGCTGCATTAGGTAGTGCTGTTTGGATCCTCTACTCAACCATGAAAATGATGTTGGGAGACCACAGTTGAACTTCTAACCTATTTTTAAACTGTGTTAAAAGGCACCATGCTAAATGCTATGGGTATTACAAAGAAACAAGAAGCCCTAGTTTCTCCCTCAAAACACAAATCTAGTGAAAAAGACAGAACTAGTAAGAATGAAATAAATGCTAAATTATTATGGGATGGGGTGGGATACAGTGACTAATTCTAATCAACAAAAGTGCTATAGGTTTGGTTGGAGTCAGATGATCACCTTCACTTATTAAAGGGCACTGAGGCACTGGGTACTTGAAAGCACAAATTTTGGCATCAGAGGGCGCTGGGCTCCAGCTACATGCCCCTAAACAAAGCACTCAATCTCTCCGCATCTTTACATTCTCATCTATAATATGGGAGATAATAATGCTGGTCTCCTTAAAACATAACATTCCATGAAATTAGGATCATGAGATTAGGGTTAAAGGAGCTTCACAGATGAATGCACTCTCTAAACTGTTATTTTCCATAACTCAAATAGGTTACAAGGAGGAGGATCTGGGGGCTCCAGGATCTAGCCCCCAACTGCCCAGAGGGGACCCCTATCTCAGTACAGCATGTATTTGTGGAGAGGGGAGTCTGCTAGAAGGCTAGAACCGGGTCTCCTGAAAGAATCTTGGATTTTGGTGTCTGATGTAGTCTAGCCTCACGAGTTCTAAGGAATTGAAAATACCACTTAACCACTTAGGTGGGATCTCCATCTCACAGATAGTGGAAAACACATGTAAAGTTACTTCCTATACTATAAAGGGCCTACTGCACAGAGGCTGCCCAAAGTTGTTCTAAGCTCCATTTCCTCAGCTTTCTGCTATGGAATCATTAGGGTAACAGCTGTGAAGGTGCCTATCCTTCCCCACCAGACTGTAAGCAACTTGAAGGCAAAAACCATGCTTCACATTGAGTAATCAGTAGTCCCATTTCACCATTATTTATGAAATGCCTATACTGTGCTTGACACCATGCTAGATGTTCATTTGGATTATCCTGTTTACTCCTTACCACAGCAAGTTGTTTGAGCCTCAGTTTTTCCTCATCTGCAAAGTTCCTACTCCAGAGAACTCTGAGAATTTAAAAAATGACAATGTATGTAAAGATATCAGTACTGCACCTGGCACATAATTAAAGGCACAGTAAATATCAGTTTTCATCACCTCCATTTTATAGGTAAGGAAACTGAGGGTCAGAGAGGCTAGGCTGCTGGGGTCAGTGAATGGCAAAATCAGGCTTAAATTCCAGGCAGATGGCCTCTGGAGTCAACATGTTATCAAGCATCCAACCCAGTGCCTGGCACATAACAGGCTGAGCTCAATGAATGCCTGTCAGATCCTGAGCAGGGTCTAGAATCAAGAAAAGATGCATGGAGAAGAGGAGCCGGAGAGATAAGGTCTAGGTAGTGCGGCCCCTTAACGGCTCCATAATGGGGGTAACTGTACCCACTTCACAGAGCCGTTCTGAGGACTAAGTGAGGATATTCGTCAAAGTCTTAGCATAGTGACTGGCACAGAATAAAGGCTCTGTAAGTGGCAGCCATCCTTGTCCTCGTTTTACAGATGAGAAAACAGAAGCACAGAGAGATGAAGAAACTAGCCCAACATCACTCAGCTAATAAGTAGCTAAGCCAGGACTCGACCTAGGCAGTCTTTCTCCAGAGTCCTCTGGCTCTTATTCCAAATGCCCAGCAAAGCGCCTGGCACACAACAGTCTAGGGCCAGTGCCCTCTACAAGGCTGTCGAGATAATAATCGTCACAAGTGTCAGGAGTAGCCAGCGGGGAAAAGGGCTGGATGAACTGGGAGTCTGGGAACTTCAGACAAGTATCTTAAACCTTCCCGGGCCTCAGTTTCCTTCTCCGAGAAATGGGGATAACATTGTCTCCAACCTCAGAAGCGTAATCAGAGGCTCAGGCTTGGAAAGCAAGCCTCAACTAAGACGCTAGAGGAGCCTCGGGAGTGGGCTGGGGAGAGGGTCAATCCGGGGGAGGGCCCAAGGGGCTGCGCAGGGGGTGTTTACCTTTGCGGAGCTCGCGGTGCCACACAGACACGATGGGTCCCGCGTGCTTGCGGTGGTGGATGAGCCACAGGGACAGGGTCTGTACGCTCTGTTGAGAGTTGCTCAGCTCCGAGAGCTTCTTCTCCAACGCCGACTCGGAGAAGGAGGACATGGTGGCGGCGGCGGGGCCCTGCAGGGAGCGGCCTGGGCCGCCCAGTGCGGCGGGAAGAGTGACGGCACGAGGCCGGGGCCTCACCTGACTGCCTGCGGGGCTCTTTACTGACTGACAGACTGCCAGGGGGTAAGGAGGGGGAGGGGATGGGTCTCCGCAGTAACAGCCGCCCGCGCCGCCGCCACAAGATGGCCACCGACCTCTCACCCCACCGCAAGCAGGGTCAAAGGGCAAGGGCCGGAGTAGCCGCGCACAGGGAGGCGTCAGAGCCACAAAAAAATGCCCCTCCAGTGGCGGCGGCCTCCCTGAACCTCGCTCAGGGCACTTCGAAAGCGACAGACTGGGAGGAAAGAACAGTTCGGCGGCCTCCGGAAGGCGCTTTGACCGCTCGCGCCCGCACGCAGGCGCCGTGAGACTCACCGGAACCCTTTCTCCCGCTCTGGCAGAACCTTTCTGGCGCTGTACGGCGCGCTAGTTAATACGTCACTTCCGGCGGGGCGGAGGAGGCGGGAGAGTGAGGGAAAGGCTGGAAGACGAGGTAAGGGAAGAGTGGTGGGAGCGAGAGGTAACCGAACAACCGGGAGCTCTTAGAGGGGAATCCCGAGGGGACACTGATGCGGAGTGATCAGGACAGGGTACGGGAGGGGGGACTCTCTCCCTCATCTGGTAAGCCCCAGGCCGCACTCTTCTCCGTACACGTCCTGCTCTCTGGCTGTCCACCTACCCCCCACCCCAAAGCTTTGGTTGTGCCAAGCCACCCACGTGCACTTTTCACACCTTGGCTCTTGCTGTTCTTTCTCCAAAGGTGACGCCTCCCCCCCCACCTTCTCACCTCGTGTGCTCCCACTCAACCTCAAGGAGCACCCTTTAATGTCCTGTTCTGACGTTTAGTCTGTGACAGCACCGCCATAAAACACACCTTTGTGCCCTTAATTTGGTTGCTTCGTTCAGGGAATTACATGCTGTCCTTGCCCTCTGGGGGGTCCATTTGAATGTTTCTGAAATTTAAGCAATATGTTAACTTTTTTGAGGGTGGGGGCAGGGAAGTCAATGGTTCCATTGACCTCCTTTAAAACACTATTTGAGACTGTGACCTCTTTACCTATTTTTTTTTTAAGTTTTAAATTCCAGTTATCAAATCAGAGACATTTGTCTTTCCAACTGCTATTGGGTTGGTAGTAGGGAGTTAGGTTATTGTAGACATAACAGTTTTAAAATTTCCTGATTATCGTGGAACTTACCAGTTATGGGCAAACTCCAGTTAAGAGACATTCTAGTTGATGACTGTTCTTTCTCTCACTGCACCGTATTGTAGTTCTTTGCTTAGATGCTTTCGATCCTCTTCCAGGCTAGAATCATCATAATCATCATAATCATAGCCAACATAGGGAGCAATTGCTATGGGCTAGACATTGTTTTCACATAGTAACGCATTTAATCCTCATGACAAAGCTGTAAGGCAGTTATTATGTTATTCTCATTTGGCAAATGAGGAAATGGGACAGAGAAGTTAGGCGAACTACCCAAGATCACATAACTAAGATTAGAGGGAAAAGACTGCATCTTATCTATTTTCCTCATCCTGCCACCTTATTCATAGCTGATTACGTGAATTAATATAAAAAAGGTGAATGCCCTAAAATTACACAGTCAATATCTAGTCATAATTGTAATCTAGGGCCTTTGAGTCCAAATCTAGACCATGTTTCTATATTAAGTAGCACTGTCATATACTGAACACTTAACACCAAGTCACTTTGTACTAAGCACATTACATACTTTGTTTTATTTAATCCCCACAACAGTTTTGTGGGATGAGGATTATTATCACTATTTGAAAGATGAGAAAACGTAAAACATGGGTGAGTAATCTGTCCAATATCACTTGGACATAGAAAATGACAGAGCTAGGAGTTAAATCAAGGTTATCTGATGTCTGATCCTAAAGTCTTCACTCCTGAGCCACTGATTCTTTCGGCAAATAATTTTTGAGCACTATGTCTCAAGCACTATTTTAAGCAAAAAGAATCTATGTCCCCAGAAGCTTACCTTCTACAAGAGAAGATCGGCTAAAAAAACATGCAAGTATAAAACAAGTCAGAAAATGATACCTACCTTGAATAAAAATCAAGGAGGATAAGGAAGATGAGGAATGCATTTGTAGGAGGATAGGAGTCTATTATATATGCTGGTCAGAAAAGTCCTCACTGAAAGGGTGACATTTGATCAGAGCCCTGAAAGAAACAAGAGAACAAGTCACTTGCTGTATGGTGGAATGTTGTTCCAGGCAGACGGAAAACCAAGTGCAATTGTTAGACCATTGTTGGCATTTTTGAGGAACAGCAAGAAGGATGGTAAGGCTGGAATGATATGAACCAAAAGGCTGGAAATGAGCTCAGAAAAGTAGCCAGGGACCACATGAGATGGACCATATCACGTGGGGACTTGTAAGCAATAGGAAGGATTTTGGATAATACTCTGAATGAAATTTGAGTTCGCTCACTGCTTTTGAGCAAAAGAGGAGCATTGTGGCTGTTAAGCAGAGAACAGCAAGGCTGCATGGGTAGAAGCAGGAAGAGCAGTTGAGCAGCTATTGTAATAACCCAGGTGAAAGGATGACTCAGACCAGGGTGGAGGTGGTGAGAGAGGGTCGGATTCTGAGGATTCTGTCTTTTAGAGGTAGAACAGGATTTGCTGACAAATTAGATCTGTAAAACAAAGATGAGTCTGTGTGGCTGCTTAGATTTCAGCCTAAGCAACCATAAAAATGGGAGTTTGCATTTACTGAATTGCAGAAAGAGCTGGCTTGGGGAGTAAAAGCAAGAGTTTAGATTTGTACATGTCCACGTGGAAATGCCTTATCCAGGTAGAGCTTCTCTCATAAGCAGTTGGATTTATGGGTCTGGAGTTCAAAGAAGAGATCTGATAGAGTTAGAGATATAAATGTGGGAGTCATAAGGGGGAATAGGTGTAGAAAGAAGAGAGGTTGGGGTGCCTGAGTGGCTCAGTCAGTTAAGCGTCTGCCTCAGGCTAGGTTGTAAAAATCCCCGAGTCCTGGGATCGAGTCCCCCCACCACCACATCGGGCTTCCTGCTCCGCAGGGAGCCTGCTTCTCCCTCCTCCTCTGCCCCTCCTCAGCTCATGCACGTTTGCGTGTGTACTCTCTCTCTCTCTCTCAAATAAGTAAATAAAAGGAAAGAAGAGAGGCCCAATGACTGAGTCCTCAACCCTTCAACATTTAGAAGTCTGAAAGATGAGATGACACAATCAGGTGATTTTTCTTCTTTAGCCTATTAATTACACTGATTGATTTTCAAATATTGAGTCGACCTTCCATCCCTAGCATAAACCCTACTTTGTCATGGTGTATAATTCTTTTTACATGCTGCCAAATTATATTTTATAATATTTTGTGTAGGATTTTTGCATCTATGTTCATGAAGGAAATTGGTCTGTAGGTTTTTTTAAATTTACATATTGTCTTTGTTGGGTTTTGGTATCAGGGTAATGCTAGCTTCATAAAATAGATTGAAAAGATTTCTTCCTTTTTCTAGAAGACTGTGTAGAATTGGTGTTAATTCCTTAAATGGTTGGTAGAAGTTCCCAGTGAAACCATCAGGGCCTGGGGATTTGTTTTCTTTTTCTTTTTTGAGTTTTTAAATGACAAATTCAATGTTCTTAAAAGTTATAAGGCTGGTCAAATAATCTTTTTGTATTACTTGAGCTGTAGTAGTTTTTGAGGAACTCACCATTTCATCTAAGTTGTAAACTATATGTGTGTGAAGTTATTTGTGGTATTCCTGTATTATCCTTTGATATCTGTCTGTCTTTCAGCCTCATCAGTCTTGCTAGAAGTTTGTTGATTTTATTGATCTTTTCAAAGAACCAGTGCTTTGTTTCATTGATTTTTCTCTATTTTCTGTTTTCAATCTCATTGATTTCTACTCTGTATTTCCTTCCTTCTGCTTGCTTTGGTTTTATTTTGCTCCTCTTTTTCTAAGTTCTTAAGGTGGGAGTTTGGATTATTGATTTGAGACCTTTCCCCTTTTCTAACATACATATTAACTACTATAAATTTTCCTCTCAGCATGGCTGTAGCTGTGTCCCACAAATTTTGATACGTTGTATTATACTTTCATTCATTTCTATGTATCTTTAAAATTTTCCTTGAGATTTCCTCTTTGATCCATGGATTATTTAGAAATGTATTGCTTAGTTTCCAGCTGTTTGGAGATTTCTGGTTTGATTCCATTGTGGTTGGGGAAGGTACTGTATTCTCTGTGTCATGGCCCAGGATATGATTTATCTTGGTATATGTTCTGTGGGCATCTGAAAGGGTATTCTTTTGTTGTGGGTTGGAGTGTTCTTTAAATGTTGATTAGATCCTGTTGGTTGATGGTGTTGTTGAGTCCTTCTGTTGTCCTTGCTGATTTTCTACTTGTTTTACCCATTGTTGAGAGAAGAATGTTGAAGTCACCACCTATACTTGTGGTGATCACCCATATTTCTCTTTTCAGTTTTAATGCATTTTTGCTTCACACATTTTGTGGTTGTTTTGTATTTAAGATTTGTGTCTTGACATAATCCATTTAGTATTGCTATGTCTTCTTGATGGGTTTACCCTTTTAATGGTTATAAAATGTCCTTTTCTATCTCTGGTAATTTTCTTTGCTCTGAAATCTATCTCATGTTAATATAGTCACTCTTGCTTGCGTTTGATTAATGTTTGCATGATACTATCTTCTGTCTGTCCTTTTACTTTTAACCTACCTATATCAGTATATTTGAAGTGAGTTTCTTGTAGACAGCATAGAGTTAGGTCATATTTTTTTTAAAGGATTTTATTTATTTATTTGAGAGAGAGAGAGAGAGCACAAGCAGGGGGAGCGGCAGGCAGAGGGAGAAGCAGACTCCTCTCTGATTAAGGAGCCCGATGCGGGACTCGATCCTAGGACCCTGGGATCATGACCTGAGCCGAAAGCACTTAACTGACTGAGCCACCCAGGTGCCCGAGTTAGGTCGTATTTTGTAATCCACTCTGAAAATTTCTATTTTTTCATTGGTATACTTAGACCTTCTATGTTTAATATAATTATTGATATGTAGAGCTTAATCTTCCATTTTATTTTTTGTTATCTGTTTGTTCTGTTTTTGTTTTTCTATTTTCTTTTTCCAGCTTTCTTATAAGTTACTTGAACATTTGTTAGAATTCCATTTTATTTATGTATAGTGTTTCTGAATGTATCTCTTTGGAACCATTTTAATGATTCTTCTAGGTATTACATTATTTGTACATAATTTATCTTTACCACTACTAATGAAGTATAACAACCTTACTTCCCTTTATGTCTCCTTACCCTCCCCTATTTATAAGGTAAT